TACATGGGGAGGGGGTGTGAACACTTAGGTAGAAAGATACCAAATACATATACAGAGAAGTTCATATTTTATGTTTTATTAGTTCCCTTCTCATACTTTGGAAGATGTGAAGAAAGAGAGAAGTAAATGGAGGCAGTTTTTGACTTGCCACCTTTCATTTAGTGACTGTTTAAAGTCACAATGGCACTGAAAAAAGTGAGTTATGGCCATTTCTCACACTTACTACTGTTGCAGAATCCCCATGGCCACATGATCAAAATTCAGACTCCTGACAACTGGCTCATATTTATGTCTGGCTCATATTTATGAGTATCTGGGGATCATGTGATCACCTTTTGTGACCTTTTCACAAGCAAAGTCAATGGGGAGAGGCCAAACTCACTTAACAACCACATTACTAACTTAATAACTGCAGTGATTCATTTAACAACTGTGGCAAGACAAGTCAAAAATGGGGCAAAACCTATTTAACAACTCTCTTGCTTAACAACTGAAATTCTGTGTTGAATTGGGGTTGTAGGTCAAGGACTGCCAGTAGTAACAGTGGTGATAAATGTGCTTCTAAATGTGCTCCTTTAAAGTCTGGTTCTGTGAGCTATCAATTGCCCTCTTTTGGTCTACCATCTTCATCATAATTCTGAGGAAGCTAAACAAAATTCTATCATATCCATTACATTTTTTTGCTGAATTTTTCATTCCTTGTTCAAGGAGCAGCATTATCTTAGAAAATTCTTCCTTCGACTGATAATCCTCCATTTTCCCATTCAACAATCTTCATTTTGACTTGGAGACAGGATCTTGTTCTCAGTTTGCATAATATTTAACTCCGACTTCAGTGAGGAATACAGATAGATTGCAGAATGGCAGAGCAGTTGTTCTTTCCAACACACACTAATGAGATTATTTGACAGAGTGAGCCTGGCTGTTTTCATCAGACATTTATATCTGAAAAAGAGACCAATGCTGTGATTTGCTTTTGATCATAGAATTACAGTGTGGTTTTCAGTGGTCACTTTGCTCAAATATGCAGTATGGATCACAAGTGTGGTGAGGCTTCATGCTGTAAATATCAACCCCCTGTAGCCATTCATCTCATCTTGCTAGGATTCCAAGTCTACAAACTTAACATTCTAAATTCTGCTGTTTTATTTATTTTTATTACTTTATGCCACATTTTTGGACTCACTCAATCTTTTTCATAAAAAAAACCCTTTTCATTTGTTTTTGTTTAATTTCACTGTTGTTTTAAACCTGTGTCTCTCACCCATCAAGATAAATCTGAATTTTATTTCTGATTTCTAGAATAATCAGCTTTCTCACCCAGTTGTATGTGATCTGTAAAACTAATAAATCTTCTATCCAAGAAAAATATTTTTAATAAATGTTGAAGAGGAATAGCACCAGACCGATCCTTGTGGCAAGCTACCTCATTCTAGTTTGATAAGAAATCACTTTAGGAGCATCCTTTCATTATTATTTTCAGTTTTTATATACTTTCCATCTTGCTAATTAAAATGTAGTTGTGGAGATACTCCGTCAAATGCTGGGCTGAAATCAACATCCGTGATCCTCTCAGAAAATTTCCCCATTAAAAAATGAGTGAAAGTTAGTTTGATAAGGTTTTTTCATATAATTGCCACATTATTTTCAAGATGTTTACAGGTCACCTTTATGAACTTCTCAAATGTTCATAAAGGTGACCTGTAAACATCTTGAAAATAATGTGGCAATTATTGCTCAAAAACGATCCAGTTATTGATATCGCTTTGCCAGGGACCTGTTCTCCTCTTCAGTCGTTTGGCACTTCACTTTTTCTCCTGGATTTCTCAAAAATAAAACTTGGTCAGATCATAAGGAAGTTCCTTTAGTGCCTCATGGTACAATTCAATTTGGTCTATCTCAAATTAAAGAGATGTTCCCTCACATCTAGAAATCGGTATCCCAAAAGATGCATAAAGCAATTATTACTTTTCATATATTATACATTATTTTATCGGTTCTGTTAAAATGAGTGCAACTCATCTAACAGCTAACATTTGCAATTCAAACATGTGCAAGCAGAGCATTAACTATAAAGTGCATTGAAACTGTCATTTAATCACCAAGCAGCCAGTTAGGACTACTCCCAAGTTCTTGGATTCCATTTGAAACAGCATAGTTTTTTTTTAAATTCTGGATGGTTCATCAAGAGGAGACAAACAAATGGTTCTCAGGAGCAAACAACACTCAGAGTGGCACTGCCTCTTCCCCAAGTGACCACCCTTTGCTATATTCTAGTGTCTCTGAGGATTCTATGCTTTTTCAGAAGTAATTTTCTCCATACTGCAAAATGGATCCTTGCAATTTACATCCAGGAATCTTAATAAAATTCTAGGCATAAATCAGACAGAGCTTAAATTTAGCCCTGCAAAGCATTCCAGTGTGAGCACACGTGTTCTCTCTCTCTCTCTCTCTCTCTCTCTCTCTCTCTCTCTCTCTCTCTCTCTCTCTCTCTCTCTCTCTCTCTCTCTCTCTCTCTCTCTCACACACACACACACACACACACACAGACACACACACTTTACAATTTTTTTCACGGAAGAACTTGTACTGGGTTTTTTTTTCTATTTTTCTCAAAGATGTTTATTGTTTTGCCTGTTTGTTTCTTAGCAGCCGTGCTAAAATTAATTGAATGAAAAGAAAAAAGACTCAAGTTTCTTTCAGTTCCCTCAGCCAACATTTCATAAATCTCTTAAGTGGGCTGATATGTTTCAGGTCAGAAAAATCTTCATTGGTGCTAATGGGTTTATCAGGTCTAATTTTCATTTCTATTTTTCCAGTATGGTTGCACTTTTTAGAAGACACTCATCCAAACATGGTTTTTTATAACTACGTAGGAATAAAACGATGGATTGTATCCAATGTACTCATAGCACAAAGAAACCTTTGCAAGGGAAATTTTCTGCCACCTCCTCCCTTCTTCAGTCTCTAATTGGGACTTTCAAAACCATCTGTAGTGAGTAAAGAGGCTGTTGGGGAAGGATAATTGGGGGATTGGCCACTTCTTCCAGACATTTGAATGATCAGTTCCTGGTAGTATTCATCTGTGTACCAGATGAAGAGCTTTTCAAGTATTAGAAATAATTTCTTGATGGAAGGGGTTGTGAACCAGGATTGCTCTGAAGTAGAATGTTCCCCATTACTGGAAGATTTCAAGAGGAGCCGGAGAGCTATCTTTCAGAAGCGTTTCAATGGTTCTTGAACTGTCCATGAACACTAGAAGTCTCCTGAAGTCACTTCATAGGACACCCTGTTGTCCTCTGATTCTGCTGTTTGAACTAGATGTTCTCTGGCATCACTTCCCATTCTGATCCTACCATTCTTTTGTTAACTATAGTCAACATGGCTGCTTTGTGGGTATTAATGTTAAGACTTCATGCTACAGCTTACAGGATGATAGTAAGTAATTATGATACTTGACAAAGGTTGTGCTAAGGCAAAGAAATAATAGTGAGGCTATGTTCAAAATCACCCAGTAGTTAGCATTCTTGTGTGTTAGTGGTAGAAAATCAACTGAATCGGTTCAAATAATTGGGAACTGAGACATACCAGGCTTTTATCCCACCCTCATTTATTTCTTCTCAGTGCTGGTAGGTCAGATGTCAGTTGCTTTCTTGATCTTTGTGTCAGTTCCAGTTTCTAGATTATGGCAGTTTGCAATCAAATAAGCAACCATGTAATACTGTGTGTTCTTATATGGCTTGATTGTTCTTATTGCCTATTCTAATTTCTCTGAAAAGTACTGTAGCACACATAAATGAAATCATATTTTCCTAGACCATGGAATGGTACATTAAAAACCAAAACAGATCACTAGTATTTTCCCCCTTAGGGAGAAGTTTTCATTGCAAGTTGCTTGAGTCATTCTGATGTACTTGGTTAGTTTTGAGCACACTATAGGCCATGGTGGCGAAGCTATGGCACGAGTGCCAGAGGCGGCACTCAGAGCCCTCTCTGAAGGCACATGCGCCGTCGCCCCAGTCCTTGGCCTTCAGCTGGGTTTTATAAAACCTTTTCGCTTTAGGCCTCCGCCGCCGGGTGCAAAAAAAAAAAAGATCCAATCAATCAATCAATTTCAACTTCTCGCAGGAAAAAAAGATCTCGCAAAGTTGGAATTGATTGATTGAACTTTTTAGTTCCACCCAGTCTGCCATTACCACCGCAGCCACGCCCACCCAATGAGCCATACCTACCCGGCACCCGACGATGTATAAGTGGCTTTTGGGTTGCAGTTTGGGCACTCGGTCTCTAAAAGGTTCGCCATCACTGCTATAGGGTTTCAATTTAGGATATTTTATCATTATATAAATGTCACATATTAACACCATATGATCAAGGGCCTTGTGGACTCTATATAGCTAATTTTTCATAAATAACATGAAACTTTATCTTTAAACTTTAAAATCCACCTCTTAGCTCACAGAGAACAGTCTTCCTTAATGTGTGAGGGATATTTGGCAAACCCAAGAGGAGAACCAGAGAGAAACTCAAGTAAATTGAAACTAGAACTTCAGTATCCTATTCAAGGCTTTTCAATACTTTCATGGTTGTTTGTGAAATCTCTAATGTCCATCATAATTCAGTAGAATTTTCTCTTTGCAAACTTTTCCAGTTCAGCCCATACAGCAATACTATGCCAAATCAGAACTTGCAAATATTATCCTAATTTTATGGTTTGCATTATGAGGAGAATTTTAATGCTTTATCTTATAGAATGGTTTTATATGTACCTGGACTCAAACAAACACACACACACACACACACACACACACACACACACACACACACACACACTTAAAAAGAAAAGGTGCACCCAGGTCTTTAATAAGCAGTCTCCAAAATGTAATGCTGTATTTTGGCATCAGATAAGGTAGCCTTAGGAATAGGTTTGTAAGTCTTTTTTCATAATTTGGTTGCCAAGATCAGCCTATATTCTAATAACAGGATATTCTCTTCTGCAGCACTTTAGACATATTTCCTACATTGGTATCTCTGGCGAATGCCACCCTTCCTCTCAACAGACGATTCGATGGAATAGATATCTCTGAAGTCCTGTTTGGCTACTCAAGCAAAGGACACCAGGTATGGCATTTACCTTCTGAACACTGAGTAGCAACATCAATTGCTTGAAGGTTGGAAATTCTGAACTTCCCTAAAATTCCTCATGTTTCAAATGATTATCATTGCCACAAACAATGTAAATTTTAGAATATGCTCTCTCTTGCTCCTGCCTTACAATTTTTGATATATTTTTAACTGGTTTGCTTTATCTTGTTTTTGTCTTCTAAATATTTTGAATTGGTCTTAAATGCTGCAAGCTTTCCTGTGTGATATATATGAAATTGATAAGTTCATATAACAGTTTTTTAGCCTCAGATGCTATTCTCAGGCTTGAACTGCTGGCTGTAAAACAGTCAATTAAATCCTCAATTGTATTCCATAAGCTTAAAGTTTACTCTCAATCATGCATGTATTTTATGAAATATAATCAGATAGTTACATATAGCCATTAAGACAACACAGACTTTTTCGCAAAGTTGGTTAGCTTCAGAAAGATTGCTCCTACTTGCACTCTCATTCTTGTTGAGCACGGCAGTTGATCTGTAAACAACTTAATACTTAAGCAAAATCCATCCATTACCTCTTAAAAACACTATGGCGGCTCAGCAGTGGAGCATTTGCCTTGGATAAAGAAAATCTCTGGTTCAGCCTCTGGTATTTACAGGGAGGAAACGACTTCTATCTGAAACCAATTGCCAATTCTTTTATATAACATGCTTTGAGGACTAGTAATTTGATGTTATCCACACTGAGTGTGCATGTGTGCAGGTACTCTGTGGCTAAGATTCTCAGTGTGCCATTTAAATTTTCTTTCTACATTTATATAATGTTGCAAAGGCAGGAACAGTAGGAGGTTATTCCCAAGTAAATATATGTAGGTTTGTGCTGAACCAGTTCCATCCTTTGATTTGAGTTTTAATAGGTACAGTTATATAGCAATTGGGTACAATAACAATTATTTTCTTTGCACAACACAAACATTTATGTAATCTTTCTGCTTTTTATTGTTTGCTGGCTGAAGCGTTTTTAAGAATAGAAATGCAGAATTTAGTTTAATTTTTTTCTCATAATAATTTCATTATGTACTGATCTTTCTGCCTGAGAAAAAGATCTAGTATCTTCCCTTCTCACTTTGTCTATGCCTTAAGAAATTTGATGACATTTCTGTGTCTGAACAAAAGACTTTCTTCCCTTATTTTCTAATTAAAATCTTACAAACTTTTTTTAAAAAGAAATTTCGGTGAAAATTTTTGTCTTGATGAATAACATTCAACTTGTTGCTATTTTTTTGGCGATTTCATACAATTGATTTACATTTTTTTCCCTTGCGGCTCTTTTGTTCCACTAAGTTGTGCCCTGCAAGAAGTCCAGGACTAATCAGCATTCCTAAATCTTAAATTCCCAAATTCTAAGTATTACTGCTTTCTAGAAGGTGATGAATGCAAATGGAAGAAGCCCAGTTCTGGACCCCGTAATTATACATTTCTTCCAAATACTTTCACTGAAAGAGGTCTGTTGAGGGTTTCTAAGCAGGAGAAGACTATGATGCCTTCTTCTGCAACAGGAGGAAGAAGGAAACAGGGTCCAGAAATTCTACGTCTAGCTAGGGCAGTGATGGCGAACCTTTTAGAGACCGAGTGCCCAAACTGCAACCCAAAACCCACTTATGCATCATCGGGTGCTGGGGGTGGGTGTGGCCCATTGGCTGGGTGTGGCTGTGGTGGTAACAGCAGACTGGGTGGGACTAAAAAGTTCAATCAATCAATTCCAACTTTGCGAGATTTTTTTTTTCCTGCGAGAAGTTGAAATTGACTGATTGAACTTTTTTTTTGTACACGGCGGCAGAGGCCTAAAGCGTGAAGGTTTTATAAAACCCAGCTGAAGGCCTAGGACTGGGGCGATGGCGCGTGTGCCCACAGAGACGGCTCTGAGTGCCGCCTCTGGCACCCGTGCCATAGGTTCGCCACCACTGAGCTAGGGGAAACGATTTACAAGTTTTTCAAACACATACTTTTTTTTTTTTTTAGTGACATATCTTTCTCATGTCAGACTAGTAGAATAGCTCCAGTGATCGCACTAATTTGCTCAAAGGAATTATTCAGGTTTTCTTTTCGAATTGTTATATTATCAGTATTTTTCGCTAAGCATATGTTCTCATATGCTCTTAAATCATCATCATCATCCCTATAAATCATCCATATAATGGCGTTCTGAAGACATCATAAAATTTGGGATATGTAAACTAATAATACAATAGTAAAATAATACACTTGATCTTGCAATGTCTAACTCAGATCTTAGCCCAGCTCTAAATAATCATAACTGCTCTTTTTAGCATTGTAGCATCTCAGGATCATAGATACAATAATAGTGGTTTCTCTTGTTGTGCAGTTGTAAGTGACAAAGGATAAAGGCATGTAGCATTTATAAAATTAGATTAGAATTAGATTAAAATTACATTATATTAGGATTAGATTTAGAAATGACATTTTGGAAGTGTTTGCCCTTTCCTCCTTCCTAGGACTGTGCCTGGTGCCTCAGGTAGATCTAGAATTCCCTGTCTCCTGGTTTCTAGCTTGATGTCTCAACCACTACACAAAACTAGTTCTCAGTAATATGAGCCATATTACAGTTACTTTTTGTATACTATATAGAAAAAATGTCATATGTTTATTTATGTTTCTTCTTTGCAATTATATAACATTTTCCAGAGGAGCATTTTATTTGTTCTTATAATTTTTTGTAGTTCTCTGTACTGATTGGGGGGGAAAGAATTATTTCTGAGATTACTGAGGAGGGTGACACCACTTATCCTGTTGGAAGCCAAGTTGCATAGTTGTCATGTTCAGTGGGAAACAGTCACTTTCTAGTCCCCCAACTCACTTGTGATTGAAAAGAAAGAAGACAGTGACCTGATCAAAAAGGGAAGTGTTTCCACCTCATTTCACTGCCAGACCATAGAAGCCTTTGTTTGGACATTGATGTTAATGTCAGTTGCCAGCTGGAGACTGGGAAATACGAACTGAGAACCAGTGCTTTTTTTCTTAAAAAAAAAAAAAAAAAGGTGCCGGAACTCACACATGTCATACAACCTGCCTTGCCTACCCTACAAGGTTCCATCCAAAAAAGGTACCGGAACTCCGTTCTGGGCATTCTATGACAAAAAAAGCCCTGCTGAGAACCAGTCGTTCTCTGCAGCTGGGTATGGTTGAAGCTTGACACAGCGGTAGAAAGAAGCTCAGGGAGCAACGAAAGAGTGTTAGTGAGAAACAATAGAGCTGCTGTCTTAGCCCTGAACCTTTGATGACTGTACGACGACTTTCTTCATTTTAGAATTAATTGTAACTATTATACTTTATTCTGCCTATCCTCCAAAGTGTTCTAGAAGCCCACCGATATCTAACAATTAAAATAATTAGAAGAGCTGACTTCAAGCTGACGTCACAAATCTAGTTCCCTGAGTGGTTTTGTAGCTCTTTTAAAGCTGATTTTCTTAGTGAAAAATATGGTATAAATTAAAATAAAAATGCAGACAAGGGAAAACATTCTATCTTGTTATATTGCGGAAGCAGTATCTGAGGTTTTACATAAATGCATATTTTAAGAACATATTTGAAAGCTTTGCCTACAATACTATATTGTCTTGACAATGAAAATTATAGGAACTCCTTTTTTAAAAAGAGATAAGAGTACCGGTACATTTTTACTGTTGCAGAAGTAGTTATGCCTGCATTTCACAATTGTTGCTATTATTATTATACTTTATCATTTTAATCAGAGATATAGTATTTGATCAGTGAGAAAAATTACTATTGTTTCCTTAGTAAAATGTCGATTTGAGAGGACAATAAAAGTGGCAATAGTCAAATACTAAAACTAGCTATGTTTTTTGTAATATCAGCTGTTTTCCTGACAATAGTTATCATGTATGATATAAGGGAGGTTTAAGATTCAGGCTGATCCCACAATTGATATTTAGTGCTGGAATTTATTTTTTTATGCTTCTCCATTATTCTGTTTAATTCATTTGTACAAGTTTTTTTAAATAATAATCTCAGTGTCTGAAGTCCTGCGGAGCCTAGAAATGTGTTTAGGGCCTTTGTAAACGTATGGAATTGAGAAACAAGGGTTTAAGCATTGGGTGAAGGTACATAAACTGGCTTTATTGGAGGAGAAATATATGATTGAGGATTTATGATTGTTTCCTATTGCCACAAGAATGTGAATTTCTGGAGCAGGCATGCAGAAAAGATACAAGTGAAAGCCCCCGTTTTAATTGCAGGGTGGGGGAAGAGAGTTTTGTTTCAGAGGCTAACAATAATTCAGTTTTCCATATGTGCATTTCAGTTCTTTCATCATGTTCAGAATGTAAACATATTTTTTTTAAAAAAAATAAGCCCTGTTGAATACTGTATACAGGTTCCTTGTAGCAGATATATTTCTTTTGCGCTTGTTCTGTTTTGCTTAATTAGTTTTACATATTTTTTTTTTTTTATTGAAAATTTTTAAATTTTACAAAAACAAATCCCCTTCCCATACCCCCCCCAACCCTACCTCACCCCCCTCCTACCCAACCTCCCAAACCCTCCCCTGGACTTCCCAGAGCTGAGTACAGGCTTAATTGAGAAAAAAACTTAAAACACTTTTAAAACCTAAACAAATTTAAATACAATCATCATTCTATATAAACTCCCTCCAAAAACGCAAATTTAAACATTACTTTCTTTGAATATCTATACCTATAATGTAAAATCTAATTTCTCCCTCTTTCTTTATCCTAATACAAAAAAATAAATATATAAACCTTTGTTATACCATCAAAACTAAATACTCTTAGAAAACTTAAAGTAAATACATATTTCCTTCAATCTTCATAATCTTCTCACCTATCCAAAAAA